CAAAAAAAGTAATTCGTTCCAGTTACTCATTACTTATAATTGAATTAGTTCTAACCACTGTAAAAATTATTACTTAATTGTTTTAGATTTGATACTGGAATTAAGGTTATGTAATAATAATATTTACCAATTATAACAAATTCCTTTGCGATATGTGGTGCTTGTAGCGGGAATGTTGAAATAATTAATTGTATACAATACTGTTAATAATATAAACAGTGATTAAACAAACTCAATTATTTACACCATTTATTAGGTACTGAAACCTGACTTACCAAATTACTTACAAAAAAAAACACAGTAAATGGCAAACCTGTTAATTGAAAATGTAATAAATGACAAAAACTGCAGTGTGACAACACTTTGAATATTGATTCTACACAGCTGTAAGTATGAGAACTGCATTAGTGTCATTTACGTTACGTCTCTTTTTCTCTAGATGGCGCCATCAACAATTGATTAAAATTTGAAACCGTAATGACTAAAAAAAAATTTTGGTTTCTGCAACATCAACCGGATACATACTTATAGACATTTTCTATTAAGTGCCCTTAAATAAAATGCTAAATATTGAGGACAAAATGTTTATTCCACCATTCTGCAGAGGGAAAATCGGGAAATCATGGCTGCAAAAACCCTCTCCAGGTTTCAAAAATGAAATAGAAAAAAAGGAAATCCTAAAGTAGCGGATGGTAAAATTCAAATTATTACGATGGTGTGGCGGCAAATTTAATTTACGACAGAAAAGATAAAGCTAATTGAAAGCTAATTACGCAGCGTGAGGACGCGCAGCGACAGCGGCGCGAAAAGCGTCCATGTGGTTTACTTTTATCCCGCAGGACGTAGCCAACTAGATAGCCTGATTCGCAAGGGCTGAAAATCCGATATTGCAGATGAAGATGAACATTCATATGAAAACAACTGCTCTCAATTTGAGTTATGCATTAATTTAAACTAATTTTTAAATTAACATTGTTGATTACATCATGGACTCCAAGAAATTCAGATAACACTTAAAGCAAAAGACATGAACTGAGCACAACAAAGCACATACATATTAAATGCGATCAAAATAAAAAAAAACTGTTCTAGAATAAATGTTCAAATTCAAGCTGTAAGAAAACACATTAATATAATAAAACACCTCCCATTTCGAGCCCACGATGACATTAATGTAACTGATGATAACTCTCAAGGTGGTTTAATTTAAAATAAATTGAGCTTGAATGAGTGAATTTCCTCCACGTGTTTTACAGGAACAGTTTTCGTAACATATGTTAATTTTCGCACTCGTGCCGACCAATCACAACAAAGTATATCGGCGGTAAATTCAAACTGGCCCAAAGTCGAATACTATTGCTTTCAATTCGCATCGATTTTTGAAGTTTTTAATATTCTTAGCTTTTCGATTTTTTCAATTTTATAATTTTTAGATTTGACAATTTCTCGTTTTTTTCAATTTTTCCATTTAAAGATATTTTTATTTTTTGATTTTTCAATTGTTGATTTTTTCCTTATCCGATTTTTTATTTTCGCTATTTTTTCAACATTCGGTATTTCAATTTTTTTTATTCTTTAATGTTTCATTTTTTTCAATTTTTTAGTTTTCGATTTTTTAATTTTACAGTTTTTCGATGTTTATTTTGACATTTTTCAACTTTTGAGTTTTACAATTTGTCGACTTTGATATTTTTTATTACAGTTTCTTTTTTTTATTTTTTAAATTTTCAGTTGTTTTTTCAATTATCGAACTCTTCAGTTTCTCAAGTTTTAAGATTACAGTTTTTCCTTTTCCAATTGTTGACCTTCGATTTTGAGCTTCTTTATTTTTGCAATTCTTGGATTTCTCAATTTTTAAATTGTTCGGTTTTTCAATGTTTCTTTTTCGATTTTTCAGTTTTTAATTTTTTAATTTTTCAATTTTTCAGTTTTACAATTATCCGATTTTTTGATTTTTTTAAATTTCACTTTTAATAAGTTTGTCCTTTTGTTGAAAAATTAAAAAATGAAAAATTGAGAAAGTGAAAAATTAAAAATAATGTACTTCCAAGTATGTAATTCCAAGTTATTTCGATCGTTTCTTCGATTTTTTATTTTCTCAATTCGAGATTTTTAAATTTTTGTTTTTTTTAATTGTCAATTTTTTTATTTTTCCGTGTGTCGTTTTTACATTTTTCTATTTCTCCATTTTTTAGTTTTTCGATTTTCATTATGAAGTTGTTGCATTTTTCAGTAAAATTTTTGTATTTTTCGATTTTTTAATTTGTAGATATTTTAATTTCCCGATTTTCTGATTTGCTTTTTAATTTTTCGATTTTCTATCTGTTGAATTTTACAATCTTTTGTTTTTTCGATTTTACAGTTTCTATCTTTTTCTCAGTTGTTCCATTTTTTAATTGTTTTTTCGTTACCCAATTTTCAGTTTGCCAATTTTTTCAATTTTTCGATATTTCAAGTTTGGTTTTTCAATTTTTGAATTGTTTCATTTTTAAATTTGCCTATTTTTAATTTTTCACTTTTTTCAAAAAAATTAGTAGGATTTTTTTGGATTTTCCATTTTCCGATCTTTCAGTTTCTGTATTTTTTCAATTTTTCGATTTCTCAACTTTTAGATTTTTCGGTTTTTCAGTGTTTCGTTTTTTCGGTGTTGCAATTTTTTAACTTTTCCATGTTTCGTTTTTACAATTTCTTAATGTTTTAGTTTTCCGCATTTCATTTTAAAATTTTTGAATCTTGAATTTTTTTTTGTATTTTTGATTGTTTCATTTATAGAAGTTGTTGTTTTTCGTTTTTTCAATTTTTCACTTTCTCGATTAATTAATCAGAGTTTTCAGGTTTCAATATTACAGTTTTTCGATTTTTAAATTGTTTTTTCAATTATCCCATTGTTCAATTTTAAAATTTTTCGATATTTCAAGTTTCATTTTTCAGTTTTTAAATCTCATGTTTTCGGTTTTTTCAAGTTTTCTTTATTTTTTCACTTCTTCGATTTCTCAATTTTTTGATTTTTCAATTCAATTTAAAATTTTGGTTTGAATAAATTTATCCATTTGTCGAACAATTAAAAAATGACGAATCGAGAAAATGAAGAAATAAAAATCGAGAATTTGAAAAATTAAATGTCGAAAAATTGCAGAATTGTTTCTTTTTGTCGATTTTTCAATTTCTCGATTTTTAATTGTTTTGTTTTTTGATGTTTCAGTGTTACAATTTTCAGGTTTTTCAAAAGTTCAGTTTGAATAAATTTGTCGTTTGTTGAACAAAAAAAAAAAAAATGAAAAATCGAGAAAATGAAAAATTGAAAATCGACAATTTGAAAATTTTTATATTGAAAAATTGCAGAATTGCTTCGTTTTGTCGATTTTTCTTTTTCCCGATTTTTCAATTATCCAATTCAATTTCTTAATTTTTTCATTTTTCGATTTTTAAATTTTTTGATATTGCAAGTTTCATTTTAAAATCTTTGGATTTTGAAATTAAAAATTTTTGTATTTTTGATTATTTAATTTATAGAAGTTTTTTTTTCGTTTGTTCAATTTTTCAATTGCTCGATTTGTAATTAATCGGGGTTTTCAGGTTTCCATATTACAATTTTTTGATTTTTCCATTTTATAATTTTTAGACGCTTCAAGATTACAATTTTCTGATTTTTAAATATTTCAAAGTTTCGGTTTGAATAAATTTGTCCTTTTGCTGAACAATTAAAAAATGAAAATCGAGAAAATAAAGAATTAAAACTTGAGAATTTGTAAAATTTTATATCGAAAAACTGCAAAATTGTTTCTTTTTGTTGATTTTCTCAATTTCTCGATTTTTAATTGTTGCATTTTTTAATGTTTCGGTGTTACAGTTATTCGATTTTACAAAATTCTATTTTGATAAAAATTGGAAATCAAGTACTTGAAAACTTTAAAATTGAAAAATTTCAAAATTGTTTCGTTTTTGATTTTTTGATGTATCAATTTCGGGATTCTTTATTTTTTCATTTTTTCAATTTTTCGGTGTCTCGATTTTTTAGTTTCTCGATTTTTTAGTTTCTCGATTTTCATTTTGAAATTTTTGGACTTTTCATTTTAAAATTTTTGTTTTCTTCATTGTTTCAATGATACAATTTTCCGATTTTCCAGTATTTTAGTTTGGATAAATTTGTTCTTTTGCTGAAAAATAAAAAAATACGAAAAATTAAAAAACTAAAAGTTTAAAACTCAAAAAATTGTAAAATCGGAGAACTAACAAAGCAAAAAATGGAATAATTGAAAAATCGTAAAATAGAAAACTGAAGAAATTAATGTATGCTAGTCTTCATTATTCTTGTTAAACAGTATTAGAACTATAGTCTTTGCCATTTCTATTAAAACACCACTTGTTGATCGTAAATTTGGCAACGTTCATATTCACACAATTTTCTAACTAAAAGCCGTTGTCAATCAACCGAAAACTGTTAGCAATTGCTAAATTTTAGGGAAAATCAACAGGTGGTCTTTCAATAGAAATGGCAAAGACTATATTAACAGTTACAAATCTTAACTGTCAATTTACAAACCATAAAATAAAAAAAAAACACGCTAAAATATGGGTGATTGCTACGTCATTGAATTTAAATGCGATTTCACGGTTTTAATTGGCGCGAAATTTGATTATGAGAGGAGAATTAAGGGAAATTTTTAATGGTGTATTCTATTTTGGGGTGTTTAAAAATTATAGTATTTTTAAGAATTTTGAGACTTTTTTTCTGCGATTCTTCCCGAATGTAATGCTTACATAAATTCGTTAAATTTCACCTTCATATCGCTAGATTTTCTCTGGAACGAAACGTACATGCTATTATTAGCCTTTGATGAAATATACATTTTTGTCAGATAAATAAGTGATTTGAAAATATGCCAAGATAAATAATGCGCTTAATCATCTGTAATGACTAAAGTACACACACATTCTCCCTGCAGTTCCTTTCTTTACTACACATTCTCACCATTTAACTCAATAGTTCTTCCTTTTAGATACCGGTCACTTCTTTTGGAAGAACGAAGAAAAACAATCAAAGAAAAACTAGCAAAGAAAGAGAAGAAGAAGGAGAAGAAGCGAAAGAAGTTGTTGCGACAAGGGGGACCAGTTCCAGTAGAACTAGAAGTACGTCAATTTCTTTAGCACAATTGTAAAATAACGGCAAAATTTTAGGACGCAGCTATGGCCGAAGCCGAAGTAAATGGCGCTGAAGCTAGGGTTCCCTCGGACCAAGTGTTGGATTTAGAGGAAGAAGAACGGCGCGAAGAAGAAGAAAAGAAGAAGGCGAGAGAACCTCCCATCGTTTATAAAGATCAGTTAGACGTAAGACATCTTGCAGTGGTAATCTTTGTGCTATTGTTGACATTGTAGGCCCAAACTGAGTTCGATGCTCTTCTGGGACTAATAGATGGTAAGATTTCTGAAGAAGAACAGCGATTCATGGAAGAATTGCAGGTGTACATGGTGGGTGAAGAAGGTAGCTGGGCGTTGAGTGACGGTTTCTTGAGTTTTATAGGTAACGAAGATCATTGTGTGAGTCTATGTGATCATTTTTGATGATTTAGGTCGTCTTCTTCACGACAAAGATCTCTCGACTGAAGTACGAGTTCGAACTTTGAACATCCTAGCCATTGCCGCTTTGAAAGACGATATTATTTTGGTGCTACATCAAGATCGGAAAGACCACGTGTTGATGAATTACGCTTTCGAAATTGACAGGATCAGCCCTGAGGAGCAATCAGCTCTAGCCCTATTTGTAATCCAACCAAACATAGTTAACTTGTGACGTCACACCTTCTTCTAGATTGCCAATATGTTCGAAAATTTGAGCTCGTCGGAATGGTTGATGTACATTTCCGAATGGTCCTACAACAACCAGCAAACCAGCAACATCCGAGTAACTACTAAGGTGGCTGTGCACTCTCTACTGTCAGACTTGCCGCTTCTCCAAGAACGAGGAACCGCCATCATCCACAATTTAGCCTGCAAGGAGGTAAAAACTGTGGTCTGTATCTGACTTATTCAGTTGTGTAATCGCGGCTTGGCTGCTTTTGTCAACAAAATTGTATAACCGGTTTTGCAATTGATACTCTGTTCAGATTTGTGTTTTCAGAAAATGTTTAAATATTTTCGGATTCGGCAGCTTTTACCCAAAGGCAGCTTATCCAAGGTAGCTAAGTTGGTTTAATCGTTTGTTTGACTAACTGTGACCTTCCGCTAGAGGGCAGTCGCTACATTACTAAGTCACTTCATGTCTCTTGATCATCTGTCAGTTTAAGTCACTTCCGCTGTCGCACTAAATTAGCACTTGTACTTTGACGGAGATGGTGTCGTTTTTTGGAGGTTGTGGTGATGTTGTTGGTTTTAGGTGTTTGACGATGTCGCGGTGGAACTGACGATGGCCTTGCTGCAATATTTTAACTCCAAGCCCAACGAGGAACACTTGTACAGGTGTTTGAAGGCCATAAGTAAATTCGTCCTGGTTTCGTCCCAAGAAGTTCCTCAACTTATTCAGATGATTGGACCCGATCCGAGGAGCTTTAAGGGAGCAAGCGAGAGAGTCGACCAACTTATTGACCAAATTAGTATAAAATTGCGCTGATTTGTTAGTTGTGTTTATGTTTAATTGCAGTTGTACAGTTTTTGTAAGTATTGATTGTTGATGTACGTTTCCGAAGTACTAAAGGATTGATGAAACTAATAATGTATAAACATGTTTTTATTTATGTTGTTGTGATGCCAATATGCCGACCATCACGATCGAATGCTGGTACTTGCTATTAACAATTTTGCAACGAAATTTTCACACCAAGTGTCATTTACATCAGGTCTTCCTCATTATTAGGTTTTTATTAATTTATTTGTATTTATTTATTATTAAGTGTAACTTTATTGTCCATCCTTTTTGTATTAATATGTTGAAGCACTACGACAATGGGAAATAAAATAATAACCTTGAAAAAGAATGGTTGCTTTTTTTACCTACTTATTATTACAACGTTAAAATTAAATAATGTATTTATATTTTATTTAAATAATCAGCACAGACGAGTCAGAGGATTCCAAATTGGAATTTATCCGTGGTTGGCAATGGTTAGGTTGGTAACCACAAGTCTCAGGCATAGTGAGGAAAATGTGAGGTTATATGATCACAAATCAAGAGGTTATAATTTCAAACATCGGTAAATAAAAATATCATATTTACCCCACTTTTTAATTTCCCATTACAGAAAATACTCAACAAAATGTCGGAACTAGCGGAAGAAATCGAAGAAATGCGAAAAACCAATTTATACACCCCCGAAAAGCTACAGTAATTCACCCATTTATAAAATTTATTTGAATGAACGTACCCCCTTTTCAGTTTTATCCGAAGAACCCGCACAGAATTCGAGTACAAAATCAACAGCGTCTCAAAAAATTTAAAAGACTTCAAAGAATACATCATGTTCGAAAAAGTCCTCTTGAAAGAAATCCACGGCCACAACAGACGCGATAAAAGCATACAATCCGAACGCAAAAGCAGCATCGAGTACAAAATTCTGCGCCGGATTAAAAACTTATACGAAATAGCGCTGCAAAGGTTCGCACATGATTTTTCCTTGTGTTTATCGTATTTTAAATTTTGCAAGCAGTCGAATTACATTAATGCGGCTTCCGTGGCCATTCAGAACATGATAAAGGTACGTAGTGGACCCCCATGCCAACGCTGTTAATTTTTGATTATTCAGAACTGCGGTCAAAACCCGGAAGTGTGGCAAGTGGCTGCCGCATGGTATGCTCAAGACCGGAATGACCCCAACACTGCGCTAACCGTACTCAACAAAGGGTTAACTATTCATAAAGACAGTCAGCTGTTGTATACAGAAGCTGTTAAGTTGGAGTTGTCGGTGGTTAAAGATGACACGTTTCAGGATGATATAACGAAAAGGGTGTGTCAGAGGGTGGAAACGTATGTGCATTTTATTTCTGATCATGTGAAAGACTGCAACTATTTCATTGAAATTTTAAATTTGTTAGAAGGGTATAGTTTTACGGCGCCAGTTCAGGATTTAATAATCGAGAAATTGTTGGAAAATTATTCTGATAAGGAGTTTGTGTGGCACACTCTGGCACAGAGGGAGAGAAAAAGTAAGTATAAGTAGAATAGTAATATTAACTAATTTTCCGTCTGTCTGTCTGCCTGCCGTGACGGATTTTAATAAGACAGATAATCTATAATTTCTACGTGACATTCTCCCGATGTATAAACATAAACGTTTAAAAGTTGTTTTCCTTATCGGCAATTTGGTACTTTCATATTTTCTCGATATTTCATAACCCCTAGCTAGGGGGAGGCTATGGGATGCTGAACTTCCCCGAGATCTAGACAAGTTATAATTAAATAAATGTGAATTAGAACATCGAAAATCAAAATAAAATGTAGTGTTTTATTCAATAAGCGGAAGTCTGAGCAATAAAAATGTCTGGCAGCACATTATCAACGGGGAAACATTACATCGGAAGAATGTCACGTAGACATTTGTTTGATTTGAATGAGTTTATCGCCCCAAATCAGATGACTAAAATTATTCATAAGCCTCCATTGAACAAAATATTCTGAATGTTATTATTATAATTCTTACCTTATCATTATTTTATTGTTATAAAGGCGAGCGTATTCTCACATTTTCCAGAAAATGTGGTGGCTCGTTCTTAATTTGATCAATAATAAATTGACTGATCCATTAATTTTTTTGAGTCACCTGTTTAAGCAAATCTAAAAAATATTAATGCAATGATTAGAAGTCTGTTCATATTTTGCACATTTGCGAAAGAATTTATTTGGCAAAATTTTGAGATGCCGTAATTAATTTTTTGGGGTTGATAAACAGATACAGTTTCATTAAAAAGTTACCATGCTTACGATAACTTCAAAACGTCAAGATTTCAAAGTATTCAATTTTGCAATTCTTGATTTAATCAATAAAATAAATTGACTCAGTCATTGATTTTTTTCACACACCCCATATAAGCAAATCTAAAAAATATGAATGGAATGATAAATTACAAGTACCAACTCATTATATTTTCTACATTTTATTAGGATTTATTCGGCAAACTTTTGAGGTGACGTCATCAATTTTTTGGAGGGGACAAATAAATGTACAGTATGTCCTCTATAATCCGAACTAACAATTGTTCGAACATCCAGTAATCCGAACTGAACTTGAAAACATGCACCTACTTGCAAAAATGACGCAAGATCTTCTTTCTATACGTAATTTTTTGAAATTTTTAAAAATTGTGATGTTTCAATGCACTGAATTAATTATCTAATTCTGGAAAAAAGGTTAAAGTTATCGAAGAAATGAGGCCGGAAGTGACTTCTGCGCCCCGAAATCTACAAGAAAAAGTATTTAGTTAAATTTCGAAAATGGTCGAAAATGGGTCGAAATTTGCTAGTACTTGCCAAATAACCGAGCCTCTAAGAAAATAAAAGGCGGCTGGGTCAGGCTAGTATTTGCCAAAATAAGACTCATTTTGGCAAATGACTTACTCTTCTAAGAAAAGTACTAGCCCCGCCCACCCACCCTTATTTTCTTTGAAAGGTGGGTCATCTGCCAAAAGCAGTCTTATTTTAACAAGTACTAGATTTTTGATTTTTTATCACCGAGTTTTTGAAAGGAAGTAAAAAGTAACTTTGATCAGCGATTTGCCATGTTTACCGCAGCTTTAAAACATCTGAAAATTTTGTTTCTAATTTTCAATTTTTCAAAATTTCGGTTCGAATAAATTTGTTCTTTTGGTAAAAAAATGGAAAAATGACAAATCGTGAAAAGGAACAATTTTAACTTGAAAACTTGAAAAATTAAAAAACAAAACATTCAAAAATTGTAAAGTTAAAACTTGAAATATCAAAAGATTGGAATTAAAAACTGCAAAATTGTCAAACAAATTAGCAAATGAAATATTCAAAAGTTGAAAAATCTAAAAATTAAAAAAATGAAAACTGGAATTTCGAATTCGATTTTATAAGATTTGTGTTTTTTTTCAATTTTTCGATATTTCAGTTTTTGATTTTCCGATTATACAGTTGTACAATTTTCCGATTTCTCATTTATCCGATTATTCAATTTGTCATTTTTTTATTTTTAGATTTTTTTATTGTTAGCAAGTGCTAACCCCACCCACCCAGCCTTATTTTCTTAGAAGAATAAGTCATTGCCAAAATCAGTCTTATTTTAACAAGTACTAGCCCCGCCCACCCACCCTTATTTTCTTAGAAGATATGTCATTTGCCAAAATCAGTCTCATCTTAACAAGTACTAGCCCCGCCCACCCACCCTTTATTTTCTTACAAGAGTGAGTCATCTGCCAAAAGCAGTCTTATTTTAACAAGTACTAGATTTTTGATTTTTTATCACCCAGTTTTTGGAAGGAAGTAAAAAGTAATTTTGATCAGCGATTTGCCATGTTTACCGCAGCTTTAAAACTTCTGAAAATTTTGCTTCTAATTTTCAATTTTTCAAAATTTCGGTTGGAATAAATTTGTTCTTTTAGTTAAAAAATCGAAAAATGACAAATCGTGAAAAGGAAAAAATTTAACTTGAGAACTTGAAAAATTAAAAATCAAAAGATTCAAAAATCGTAAAGTTAAAACTTGAAAAACCATAAGATTGGAATTAAAAACTGCAAAATTGCCAAGCAAATTAGCAAATGAAATATGCAAAAGTCGAAAAATCTAAAAACTAAAAAAAAATAAAAACTGGAATTTCGAATTTGATTTTATAAGATTTCTTTTTTTTTCAATTTTTCGATATTTCAGTTTTTGATTTTCCGATTATACAGTTGTACAATTTTCCTATTTCTCATTTATCCGATTATTCAATTTGTCATTTTTTTATTTTTAAATTTTTTTATTGTTAGCAAGTGTTAACCCCACCCACCCAGCCTTATTTTCTTAGAAGAATAAGTCATCTGCCAAAATCAGTCTTATTTTAACAAGTATTAGCCCCGCCACCCACCCTTATTTTCCTAGAGGATATGTCATTTGCCAAAATCGGTCTCATTTTGACAAGTACTAGCCCCGCCCACCCACGCTTTATTTTCTTAGAAGAGTGGGTCATCTGCCAAAAGCAGTCTTATTTTAACAAGTACTAGATTTTTAATTTTTCATCACCGAGTTTTTGGCAGGAAGTAAAAAGTAATTTTGATCAGCAATTTGCCATGATTACCGTAGCTTTAAAACATCTGAAAATTTTGTTTCTAATTTTCAATTTTTCAAAATTTCGGTTCGAATAAATTTGTTCTTTTACTTAGTTAAAAAATCGAAAAATGACAAATCATGAAAACGAACAATTTTAACTTGAGAACTTAAAAAATTAAAAATCAAAAGATTCAAAAATTGTGACGTTAAAACTTGAAAAATCAAAAGATTGGAATTAAAAACTGCAAAATTGCCAAACAAATTAGCAAATGAAATATTCAAAAGTTGAAAAATCTAAAAACTAAAAAAAAATGAAAACTGGAATTTCGAATTCCATTTTATAAGATTTGTTTTTTTTTTCAATTTTTCGATTTTTCAGTTTTTGATTTTCCGATTATACAGTTGTACAATTTTCCGATTTCTCATTTATCCGATTATTCAATTTGTCATTTTTTGATTTTTAATTTATTTTATTGTTGGCAAGTGCTAACCCCACCCACCCAGCCTTATTTTCTTTGAAGAATAAGTCATCTGCCAAAATCAGTCTTATTTTAACAAGTACTAGCCCCGCCCACCCACCCTTATTTTCTTAGAGGATATGTCATTTGCAAAAATCAGTCTCATCTTGACAAGTACTAGCCCCGCCCACCCACCCTTTATTTTCTTTGAAGAATGGGTCATCTGCCAAAATCAGTCTTATTTTAAATAGTACTAGATTTTTGATTTTTCTTCACCGAGTTTTTGGAAGGAAGTAAAAAGTAATTTTGATCAGCGATTTGCCATGTTTACCGTGGCTTTAAAACATCTGAAAATTTTGTTTCTAATTTTCAATTTTTCAAAATTTCGGTTCGAATAAATTTGTTCTTTTAGTTAAAAAATCGAAAAATGACAAATCGTGAAACGAAAAAATTTTAACTTGAGAACTTGAAAAATTAAAAATCAAAAGATTCAAAAATTGCAAAGTTAAAACTTGAAAAATCAAAAGATTGGAATTAAAAACTGCAAAATTGTCAAACAAATTAGCAAATGAAATATTCAAAAGTTGAAAAATCTAAAAACTAAAAAAATGAAAACTGGAATTTCGAATTCGATTTTATAAGATTTGTTTTTTTTTTTCAATTTTTCGATATTTCTGTTTTTGATTTTCCGATTATACAGTTGTACTATTTTCCGATTTCTCATTTATCCGATTATTCAATTTGTCACTTTTTTATTTTTAGATTTTTTTATTGTTAGCAAGTGCTAACCCCACCCACCCAGCCTTTATTTTCTTAGAAGATATGTCATTTGCCAAAATCAGTCTCATCTTGACAAGTACTGGCCCCGCCCACCCACCCTTTATTTTCTTAGAAGAATGGGTCATCTGCCAAAAGCAGTCTTATTTTAACAAGTACTAGATTTTTGATTTTTCTTCACCGAGTTTTTGGAAGGAAGTAAAAAGTAATTTTGATCAGCGATTTGCCATGTTTACCGTGGCTTTAAAACATCTGAAAATTTTGTTTCTAATTTTCAATTTTTCAAAATTTCGGTTCGAATAAATTTGTTCTTTTAGTTAAAAAATCGAAAATGACAAATCGTAAAAAGGAAAAAATTTAACTTGACAACTTGAAAAATTAAAAATCAAAAGATTCAAAAATTGTAAAGTTAAAACTTGAAAAATCAAAAGATTGGAATTAAAAACTAACTGCAAAATTGTGAAACAAATTAGCAATGAAATATTCAAAAGTTGAAAAATCTAAAAACTAAAAAAATGAAAACTGGAATTTCGAATTCGATTTTATAAGACTTGTTTTTTTTCAGTTTTTCGATATTTCAGATTTTGATTTTCCGATTACACAGTTGGACAATTTTCCGATTTCTCATTTATCCGATTATTCAATTTCTCATATTTTTATTTTTTAATTTGTTTATTGTTAGTAAGTGCTAACCCAGCCTTTATTTTCTTAGAAGAATAAGTCATCTGCCAAAATCAGTCTTATTTTAACAAATAGTAGCCCCGCCCACCCACCCTTATTTTCTTAGAGGATATGTCATTTGCCAAAATCAGTCTTATCTTGATAAGTACTAGCCCCGCCCACCCACCCTTATTTTCTTAGAGGATATGTCATTTGCCAAAATCAGGCTCATCTTGACAAGTACTAGCCCCGCCCACCCACCCTTTACTTTCTTAGAAGAGTGGGTCATCTGCCAAAATCAGTCCTATCTTGACAAGTACTAGCCCGGCCCCCCACCTTTATGTTCTTAGACAATGTCATTTCTAAAAATCAGCCTCATACTTGCCAAGGTAAGATTAATTTTGGCAGATGACCTACTCCTCTAAGAAAATAAAGGGTGGGTGGGCGGGGCTAGTAACTTTTCTTAGAAGAGTAGGTCATTTGTCAAAATGAGTCTTATTTTGGTAAATACTAGCCTGGCCTACCCACTTTTTATTTTCTTAGCGGGTACGTTATTTGGTAAGTACTACCACAGTGTAAAATTTCATTTTTGAAAAAGTTGTCTAAAAATTCTGAAAAAATTTAGAGATGTATATTTATCTCGACGTTATGATTCCAAAAATATTTTTTCGAATGTATCTATTACACATTGTTGGTTAAGAATATGTACTTTATTTCTGTTTAATAAAATTAAAATTTATTTCTTGAAATTTGTTTTCAGCAGTGTATGAAGTTTCAGCTTTTTGGGAAATTCGTTGATCCGAACAAATCGCTATTCCGAACACACCTTTCCCCAACTAATTCGGATTATCGCGGTTGTACTGTATTTTGAATAAAAACTTATGCTTATCATAACTGTAAACCATCTGCAAGATTTCAAAGCATTCGGTTTTGCAGATTCCAAATTAAATGTCAAAATGTGTAAGACTATGTTATTTGATACAATTTAAAACCCATTACAAATTTTGGTTATCGTTTTACCATCTACATGATACACCTAATATAAATACAAAATTTGACAACAATCGACCCAGTACTTTCGGAAATTATCTCTGTAATAAAAATCCGGGACGGCAGACAGACGGACAGAAAGACGGAAACGGGAGACCTATTTCTTCGTCCTCTAGGGGTCATGATAGGTCGAGAAAATGCAAAAGTAGAGAGTCGGCCGTTAACTGTGCAGTCCTTTTACTTTGTAGAGTTAGAAAACATGTCAGAGGAAGACATACAGCTGTACGGCAAAAACTATATACTTTCTTGTTTTGACAAATACAAAGAGGGTTTGAGCAAAGTGCCTCCATCCGAAAGAAGTAGCCTTTGGTCAATGTATCTCGACTGCCTTGTGGACGCACAGCGTGAAAATAACGGCATGCCAAAAATCGAAAAAACCGATCTTCTTAAATCCGCTTTGGAACAAGCTTCAGAGGAAAAATATCTACCAGAAAGATATTACATGCATTGGTTAGAGCTTGTAACGGATGAAGAAGCGTTGCATATATTAGAAAAAGGTAACTCCATCGTTTGACACACTAATTAATAATAATTAGTGTAATTTTAGCAACTGTAGCCCTACCCGAGTCTATAGACTTGTGGAAAATGCGTCTTCGGTACGCAACTATGACCGACAGGAAGAGTAAAGTTGATGAAGTGTTTAAACAAGGGGTTGAGAAGCTTAACGAAACGTCGTTGCCGTTGTGGCTTACGTATATTCGTTACTGTGGACTGCTGTCTGATGATCGAATCCGCGACATATACGAAGAGGGGATTAAGGGACCACCAGAGGTCTCTGAAGTGTTAAAACCCAAATACATAGAATGGTTAGCGTTTATGGAAGGGGTTGAGGCCGCACGAACTAAATATAACGAACTAGCGAATAAGCAACCATTTTGTAAAGAATTGCACTTCACCATGTCCAAACTAGAGTCGACGGAATTCGATCATGACTACGACGCGTGGGCTCGGGTTCACGAACTAGCGTGCAAACAGTTCGGTGAAGAAGACGTAGATGTGTGGATTAATCACATTTTGTTTTATTTACATTTCCACAAGATCGATAATGTTGGTGAAAAAGTGCAACAGATTTGTGTGGAGGCGGAAAGGACTCTTTCGCCCCTACTGGTCTCCTATTTTAAGGAAAAATACAATAAAGCGCGCTTTGAACACTAGTGTATAGACTTTATTGCGCATGTGCGTAAAGTTGTCGTTATGGATTAAAAGTTTAAAAGCACCCGGTAGTAAATTCCCCAACGTTGTCCCTACAGGACTGATACGTCATCCACCCGTCGAAACCATCTCCGGAAAGCCTTTCATTTTCCGCAAAAATTTTCTTTACACACGCGACGTCGTCTGCAATATCGTCGTCTCGGAATTTTGAGCACACCGCGTTGCAGTTTTTCCCCGGGTGTTTGTCGTCGGAGCACCAACACAGTTGGCTTATTTGGAAAATTCCGTGGTCCCCCGAAACGCGGTTGAAGGCGCTGGTGTCGTAAAGCGATTCGTAGTTAGCTATACACACCCATGTTGGTAGTTGATCGAGTGGAAAGCCGTAGTTGTATCTCAAAGCTCTTGCGAGTTCACACCTTCCGAACACTTTTGCTTCTGGTGTGGTTAAGCACAGGAGGAAGGTGACGAAGAAAAACGTTGACGGTGGCATGACGGCGCGATTACAACTTTATATGAGGGTTTTTATTTTTTTAAATCATGGCCACTTAAAGTTAAGTGCAATAAAGTGGACAAGTGGCGCAGTTTTCCCAACTAATTCGTGATGATTAAAACAGAAAGGTGCCTGTCGTGAGTTTGAGAAAGACTGATTGGTCTGGTTATGTTGTTTATCAAAGTGGCACGTGTTTTCTTCTCTTTAATATGTTGAGTGTTTTCAACTGAGTAAATTTCAACAAACTAAGCTGTGATTGTTTGCTTCAGGACTTTAGTGTTTTTGTCAGATTAACAAAACAACTTAACGTAATATGATACATATATTGCAATTGTGATTAGGGATCTTTGCATATACGTAATTGGTTGCCAACCAAATTACTAGATTTACATGGCCTACCTTTGTCAAAAAATATCCTGAACGGTATATATTGAAGAACCGAAACATTGTAAATTCCCAGAACTGAAATACTGAAAAACTGAAAAATGGAAGGAAAATTGAAAAATCGAAAAATTTAGAAACGTCAAAAATTGAAATCTGAAAAATAAAAAAATTTAAAAATCGTAAAACTGAAATATCGGAAAACTGAGAAATCGAAAAATGAAGAAATTCGAGAACCCGAAAATATGAAGAATCGAGAAATCGAAGAATCGATAAATTGAAAAATCCCAATAGTAATATGTCGAAAAATTGAGAAATCGAAATGGAGCAAAACTGAAGTAAGATCGTAAAGTTAATAAATTGAAAAACTGAACATTTTTGAAAAAAAAAATCGTATCAAAAACTAAAAATTCAAAAAATCGAGAAATTGAACAATCAAAAAATCAAAACATTGAAATCCCAGTACGTTGATAAATAGGAAAATTTAAAAAACAAAAATTTTAAAAATCCAAGAATTGAACAACAAAAAAAATCTAAGCCTGAAAACTCGAATGATCGAGAATTCAAAACATCAAAGAAAACAAAAAATCTAAAATTTAAAAATTCGACAAATTGAAAAATCATGGAACTGAAAAATCGAAAAGTCGAGATAGTGAGAAATCTAAAAACCTAAAACGTTAAAAACTGAAAAATTAAAATATCGAAAAATTTAAAAACCGAGAAAACACAATATCAAAAATTTGAAAAATTGAAGAAACGTACTATTGCAAAATTCCAAAGCTGAAATATTGAAAAACCTAAAAATGGAAGAAAAATTAAAGAATCGAAACAGTGAAAAAATCCCAAACTGAAACATTGAAAAATTGAGAAATGGAGAAATGGGAAAATCAAAAAAATTGGTCTAAAGAGTTTAGACAGTACTTCCCTCGCTATCGGAAACGTGACGACTGCATGCCTATTATGTTTTTTTTTTCCACATTAGATTTCAAAGCATTCGGTTTTGTAGTTCCTGATGAAATCAATAAAATAAATTTGCGCATTCATTAAATTTTTTGAGTCACCTTGTATATCCGAATCCAAAAAATATGAATGGAATGATAAATTACAAGAAGAGACTCATCATATTTTGTAAATTTTAAATGGGATTATACGGCAAACTTGAGCTGACGTCATCAATTTTTTGGAGGGGATAAGCAAATATATTTCGACTAAAAATTTATTATGCTGTTTATAACCTTAAAACATTTGCAAGATTTCAAGGCATTGGGTTCTGTAGTTCCTGATTAAATCAATAAAATAAATTTACGCGTTCATTAATTTTTGGGGTCATCCTGTATATGCAAATCCAAAAAACATTAATGGAATGATAAATCACAAGAAGAGACTCATCATATTTTATACAATTTAGATAGGATTTATTCAGCAAAATGTTGAGATCGTCAATTTTTTAGAGGGGATAAGTAGGGGAAAGGTGCCTAAAATGATCCCCCTAAGGGAGAAATTCTTTAAAAAATACAAATTATTATTATTCATGTAAAAGTGTAGCATTATTTGTAAGAACATTCATTTATCTAGGTAACAGTATAAGCCAATTGGTGATTCGATAATTATAAAAAAAGTTATTAACGTTTTTCCAGGACCTTACAAAAGGATCATTTTAGGCATCCCCATAGGTAAAATGATCCCTCGGCATGGGCATAATGATCCCTTTGAATTTTGACCATAAGGGGACAGCATCAACAAGAAAAATCAAATCATGACATAACTGATAAATATTTTATTTCAAAAATTAACAAAAAAATAAATTCTTAAAAAAAATAAACAAAAAAAATTTGAAAAGCACCGAAAATACGGGGTGTATAATTTCTAGAAGAGTTTGAGACAATACTTTAGTCATCAGTACGTGCTAAGATAAGACTAATTTTGCCAAATGGGATACCCTCCAAGAAAAGAGAGGGCGGGTGGGCGGGCCTACTACCTGCTAAGATAAAACTGAATTTGGCAAATGATATACCCTCTAAGAAAAGAGAGGGTGGGTGGGTGGGGCTAGTAACTGCTAGGATAAGACTGAATTTGACAAATGATATACCCTCTAAGCAAAGAGAGGGTGGGTGGGTGGAGCTAGTAACTGCTAAGATAAAACTGAATTTGGCAAATGACATACACTCTAAGAAAAAAGAGGGTGGGTGGGTGGGGTTAGTAAGTGCTAAGATAAGACTGAATTTGGCAAATGATATAGCCTTTAAGAAAAGAGAGGGCGGGTGGGCGGGTCTACTAACTGCTAAGATAAAACTGAATTTGGCAAATGATATACCCTCTAAGAAAAGAGAGGGTGGGTGGGTGGGGCTAATACTTGCTAATATAAAACTGATTTTCGCAAATGAGATACCCTTTAAGAAAAGTGACGGCGGGTGACTGGGATTAGTACCTCTTAAGACTGAGAATTTCCCAAAAATAGAACACGAAAATCCCTAAAATTCTTTTAAATTATTTAAATTTCCCCGTCTTAAGAGGTACTAGCTCCACCCACCCTCCCTCTCCTCTCTTAGAGGGTATTTCATTTGCGAAAAAAAGTTTTATTTTAGCAGCTAGTAGGTGGGTGGGGCTAGTAACTGCTAAGATAAAAGTGGTATTGGCAAATGGTATTCCCTCGAAGAAACTAAAGGGTGGGTGGGCGGTGTTAGAGGATATGTCATCTGCAAAAATCAGTCTTATCTTAGCAGGTAGTAGCCCCGCCCACCCACCCTCTCTTTTCTTGGAGGATATGTCATTTGCGAAAATCAGTCTTATCTTATTAGGTACTAGCCCTCTAACAAGATAAAGGGCGGATGGGCCGAGCTAGTGCTTGACAAGATAAGGCTGATATTGGCAAATAACATACAATCTAAGAAAATAACGGGCGGGTGGGTGGGGTTAGTACTTGCTAAGATAAAACTGATATTGGCAAATGGTATTCCCTCAAAGAAAATAAAGAGTAGGTGGGCGGGGTTAGAGGATATGTTATCTGCAAAAATCAGTCTTATCTTAGCAGGTACTAGCACCGCCCACCCACCCTCTCTTTTCTTAGAGGGTATATGATTTGCAAAAATCAGTCTTATCTTAGCAGGTACTAGCCCCGCCCAATGATCCGGGATCATTTTGCCTCAAGAAAAAGGGATCATTTCGCCTTAGGTAACATATCCGCATTCAAAAATTGTAAACTAACCTTCAATTTTTACATGCGGTAAAAAGATCATAACTAACCTACGACTGAAATGTATCTAATTCTGTCAAAACAACTACCACCTCTATAATACCTTTCAAGTGGAAGTAATGGACTTTTAAAATATATCTTACCTTAGATCAGAAGTGCTTATTTTACATATTTTGGCACAAAACTGTGCAGAATACACAGAACGCCATCAAGCTTTCAGAAGCTACTAATTACAGAGCGCTTAATCAAATGACAGTTATGTTTGGTAGATGGAGCCACAAATTTTCTTACAATTGATGGGGATCATTTGACCTGAGGGGATCATTTTAAGCACTTTTCCCCTAAATATATTGTGATTAAAACGGTCCTGGTTTAATAACAAAAAAATATTGTTCGTCTATAGAACAAGCTCGTCTTAGACAAAGTATTCCTAAAAAAATATGTCGTAAAAAAATTTACGTATGCTGGTCCCGACTGCGATTATGGTTTAAATATTTTTTAGAAAATCCTGTCATGGATGTTGTAACATTTGTGACAGCCAAAGAGGTTTTTTTGAGAAAATTATCTTTGAATTTAGACCAAATTGAAATAGACAGGTACATTTGGGCAAAAGAAAGAGAAATTAGAGTTACGGCTTCAAATTTTGGACGTATTTACAAACTTAGACCGACTACAGCAATAGCTAAAACTGTGGAGTCTCTGTTGTACAGTACATTTAGAGGTAATAGTCATACACACTATGGACAGCAAAGTGAGGAAAAAGCTGTCAAGTGTTTTGAAATAAATAAAAATATAAAAACTGAACGGTGTGGCTTGTTTATTTCAAATCAATTTCCTTACTTGGCTGCTAGTTCAGACAGGGTTCTAGAGGATAGGAGTGCATTAGTCGAAATTAAATGCCCTTCAAAATCGTCTCCCGAAGAAGTGGTTAGAAAAAAAAATTATCAAATTTTGTACATTGACAGACAGAGAATTGAAACTAAAAAAAATCATGATTACTACTTTCAAGTCCAGGGACAAATGCTTGTTACGGGTATTTCACAAGTTTATTTTGTTGTGTGGACACCCAAAGGAATTAATATAGAAAAAAACGAAGAAATATGTAAAAAGATGGCAGATAAACTTGGCAGATTTTACTTTGGCGCATTATTGCCCGAATTAATTGATTCAAGAAGAAAGAGGAAACTGCCTTTGCGAGAGATTTTTTTAAAATAAATAAAATTTGTTTCTATCTTTTTATGTACTTTAATCATTTATTAGGAGTACATTTTTCATCACCAAGACTTGCATATTTTTATTATAAATATGTTTTGAAAATGATCTCTCGGCAAAAGAAAACATATGTAGGAGCACTTTTTTCGAGTAAACAATGAAGGGAGAAGTTACTGGCCGTAGGGCTTTTTTAAAACACCTCCTTTCTGGGATAAGTAGTAGATACACTTAGCTACTTATACGTGTTAAACAAAAGCTGTATTTTATATATTTTTTATTATTATTATAAATATGTATATTAGTTTTATTAATTAAGAAAGCAAAATATATATTAACAATAATATTACAATGAATTTTTAGTAATCATGTGTATTGAATTCAGGATCCTGAGTGGAGTAAAAATATTATAGTTCCCCAGTTTTAATTCGGTTTTATGATAGTACCTCATTGTGTAAAAGTTAATTTCCTTAACAATAGATTACTACGGCCGGTCCTGGCGGCTTGTTATAAAACTGAGTTCCTTGCCATAAATTAGAAAAATCAGCCGAGAACTCTAACAATCAGCTTATGGTAGAGCAGGTGATAAGGGTTTTACCTGGAAAGTCGCTTCCGTAAATTTTACTGGCGCTCCTATCGGCAAAGTACTGAACTAACTGCTCAAATTCTGTCGAATTGATACCCATTTTTTTCAATAATTGTTAGTTTTTGTTAAAAACTCTGCTAACCAATAGATCATTAATTTTCCTCTGATATTCCTGTTAAAATTATTCGACATATTTTGCATTAATTTGTGGTATATTTTGATTTTAATAAACACATTATTATTTAAACAAATTGTACCACTAACAAACATTTAATGACTCTGTAAAAAGTGATGTTTTATCCATGTGCTAATTTTCAAGCCATTCTATGATGGTTTTGACTCAAAAAACTTGAAAAGAAAACATACAATGGTGCTTTTTTTTACGATATTTCTCAGCCATATTTTTTTAGTTGATTGAACTGGTCTCTGCGCTCTAGAATATGAAAAAAGCTGCAGTTTGATGTATGATACATCTATATTAATATCATTTTTTCATACAAAAAACCAAAAAAATGTTATACCTCGTCTAGCGAGTCCCCTTAAGTGCTATGAAGTGTGAATGATGAATACGAAGTTCCCCCGACTAATTCATAATGATTAGAATGGAGTGATGTTTGTCATCGGTTTGAAGAAGAGTAATTTGTGTGTTTATGCTGTTTATAAAAGTGTCAAGTGGTTCTCGGGGGGTTAACAGTCGTCAATTACGTTAAGATGTTGCGTGTTTTCAGCTAAGTAAATTTCATGAAATTAAGGTTGACCAGACACAAGTTATTGTTTATGGTAGTTTGATTAACAAGCTATATCATCTAATTATTATAGTTTCAGCATAGTTTTGCCATAAAATGTTGCGCGCTTTAGAAATTATAAGCTCTTCAAGGTTTGACTTTGGACTGAGGTCGTTAAAAAAATGGAGGACCTACTTTGTGTTTTATAACGGCGGAGTGTGTTCGAAAAGCAGAAACGACAGCAATAATAATATGCTTTATTTCGCTTAAATTTACAAAGAAATTTGCAGTCTAATAAAAAATAATATAATAAAATAATTAATATTTTTTCATAGATTATAAAACTACTCTCTTGTACATGTAATGGTAGAACATTGTAAAACTTGATACAATAACAGCATGCTTATTTGTCGTGGTGTATACATGGTCAAAAGTAGAATAATTTGACACATGTTTATATATATAAATTAAACACTCAAGAATATAAATGCTAAGTAAGGTAAGTAAATCGTTCCCTTCCAAATATGCACCAAGTTGTATTTTAACAATGATTTCAAATATTTTACTTGAAATGGGTACAAGCGGTATTGGTCTATAATTGGAAACAACATTTGGATAATTCTTTTTTAAAACAGAATCTCGAATACATGTGTTAATTATTTTTGTTAATGAAATGACAATTATATTAACTAAATTCTTGATTATAAGTGTGTTTCGTCGCTCAGAATCATCAAAAGATGTTGAAAAATAGTTCAGATTTAATAAAAATCCACAAAAATACTGTTTCTAGCTAAAATTTGATGGTTTTGTTGCTCTTTCCGAGCACGTTGGGTTGCTGATTGGCTTAAAACTACAAGAAAACGCTTCAAAAGTGAGGTTTCTGAAGAATTTTAACAATTTATTTGTATCTACGAACGCCAGAATGCATAAAATTGACCCAAACGTCTCCTTTTCTTAATCTGAGACGATTCTGCATGCTCTAAGTGTGTTTCGTCGCTCAGAATCATCAAAAAATGTTGAAATATAGTTTAGATTTAATAAAAATCGACAAAAATACTGTTTCTAGCTAAAATTTGATGGTTTCGTTGCTCTTTAAAGTAAAAGAAAAGATATTTATAGCACTTTTGCTGCAATTTTCATGATGCTTCATTTGTATGTATTTTGAAAGAAATTGAGTTGAAGGTTTAAAACGCTCAAGAAAATAGATTGAGAAACCCACAAGGTTCAGTCTGACACAATTTTTTATTTTCTTTATAATGTTTTAAAAATATATAAAATAAACTGTTTATGTCCAAATATAACAGTAAAAAAAATGCACTTGTTTAATCCTGTTCCAATATTGTATGAAAAAATTAACCAAGTCTACTTATTTCAAATAAGAAAAAAGAAAAAGTACAATTTACATCGAACTCGTCGTCACGTCGATAGCCATCTGCAAGTGGTAATTTCATGTAAAATGACTGAAACTTCTTCGACACGAATAACTTCAGTTGTTGCAGTTGATCATATTTTTTCCTAGCCAAAGATATCGAGGCAGAATATAACGCTTCAAGGTTAGATTTCCAGATATAAGATACAGAAAAAACGAAAAACGTTCCTTAGCATAAAAAAATTTTTGAATTTCAAAAATGACATCCTGAGTGGACCCAACGACATATTAGGAGACCATTCGAAAAAGTGGACAAGGAAGTTCAACAGTTTTGTCAGATGAATTTTCAAATTCTAGTTTGTACGAAAAATTTTAGAGTCGCAAATTTATCATTTAGTTTTAAAAATGTAATAAGAGCCAGATAGCTTTTACAAAAACGTTTAGTAATAGACAAATAACGTGCCACAAAAAGAAAACAGCGCACACAGTGCGCAGATTCTAATTATGGGCATGTCGTCGCCTGAGAACTTGTTTGATCTACAGACCAGAGCGCACTCAGACCAATATCGACTCTAAGCGATTTATCTATAAGCCGACTTTCGTTAGAGCTGATCTAACAGATACACATCCACTACGAAGAACTAACCCGTTTCGACCATCTAGTCGGACTTTACAACGAATAAGCGAACAAAGTTCCAGAACAATGACAACATTTACATTTCAAATTGTATTATCAAATGATAGAACGCTCACCAAAATTTGTCACCAACAATGAAATGACGTAATCTCCAAATTTTACAATAGTTGATGTAATTTAAATTTTATATCCCCCGTTTATGGTTTATGAATCCGTGTTGAGTTTTTACCTTAGATGTCAAGATTTTTGGAAAAAAATCAACAACATTTTCCAAATTATAGTTATTGGAAGCATGTTAAATCGTTAGTCAGGATTTATTTGTTGATGCTCCCGAGGAGTTGATGATGTCATCTTACAATTTTGTCCAATAAATGTTGTTTAAATGTTAAAAAGTAGCATAATCCTGAACTTGTGGCTTATAAATACATTATTGAGATTTTTTGGCTTTTCGGTTTCTCGATTTTTCAACTTTTGATGTTTCAATTTTTCAATATTAATTTCAATCATGTTTCATGTTCGGACTATTTATTATTGCTAAAACTAAAAGTAAAAAATAACTACCAAAATTGTGACTAAAAATATGTAAAAATTAATAGAAAATAGAACACAATGCTGCTAAAACATAAAAATAACTGTACTTTCCCAAAAAAATCTATTGCATGATTACTGTTCCACTAGTATTGCTAATTTAGGACGTTGATATTAAACGCAATGAAAGTATTAATTCTTAGTTAAACAAAAAAATAGTTGGGTGTCAAAATCGAGTGAAACATGTGAGATGTGTATAAATGAAAGCGTCTAAATAATAACCATTTCCCGCAGAATTTCTGGAGGCTTATAGAGTCGACATTGGCCTGAGCGCGCTCCGGTCTGTGGATCATACAAGTTCTCGGGCGACGATGTATCTAACGAAGCAGTTGAAATACCTGATATGTCACAGTGCAAAAAGTATTTCTCAAAAAACGTTCAAACGTTGATGTCTTTTTAATCGAACAAAACACAATTGGCGAACGCAGTAATCCAGAATCGTGCGCAGAAAAATCCTTTAGACTAACCGAACGTTATTTTGGTAAAATTTGCAAAATGAGAGAACAATTAACACCATTTGCAATTGAAATGTCTATCTTTTTTTCAAAGTTGAAATTACGCCCGTACAATGAAATTCTATTTAGCTCATTTTTCGGTCTGCTACTGGGCACCCTTAAATTTAAAATCGGTTAGTGGAATATCTTATTCTTGAAACGTCTATTAATGGTAGACATATGTATTCATAAGAAATTTTATGTTATCCGGAAATACTTCAGTGGCATAATAAATACTCTGTTTTGTGATAACTATCTTGTCACACCTTCCCCTATCACATTTCGTGTTATCACTGCGTGTGTATTGTTGGTTGCCGAACTTCAAGTACATGACAGTTGACGTATTGACGTTTATCATGTAATTTGTTCCACATCTTTTTCTACACAGTTCAAACGATGATTTAAAAACTTGTAGATACTTCAGAGCACCTTGTACAATTGGTCAGTTGAATATTCAACACCTACAAAAAATAACTCGTCGTTAAAGTTTCTAGGTTAACATGGATTTAGCTGTCAAACCACCGTACTACATTCAAAATACCCGAATGGTGTACAATTGTGGAGAATGCAACTATTTCACAAAGCTATACTTCTCTATCCAGAATCACATAGCACGCCACCAAGTCCCTAAATACCTGAAATCATTCGACTGTTCCGACAGCGCCCCTGAGAGTTTCCTCTGTAGAGACTGTAGCTTCAGCACTTATTTAACAGTAGAATTCAGCAACCACATCAAAAACCACAACAATAAACTATACCAGTGCACGAAATGCCCCTTTAAAACAAAGCACAGATACTATTTGAAAACCCACATAATGTGCAAACACACAGATGGTTTAGAAGTGAACTGGCTTACGTGTCAGTTCTGCCTCTACAAAACGAAGTTAAAAAGCAACTTGAAAGCACACCTGATGAGTAATCACGGCTTTTCTGAAACAGCTCAAGAGAAGTTTACTCTAGATCCGCTACAAGTGGAGATGTATCGGTGTCATATGTGTTCTTTCGAAACAAGGCATAAGTACAACTTAAAAGCACACATAGTGTGCAAACACACAGACAGTAAGCATCTGAAATGGTTTCAATGTGATAAGTGCCCATATAAATCAAAACGGAGAAGTCAGTTGGCTCTCCACCAAACCACTCACTTATCGCAAGAAGAAAAAGTGTGGTACGACTGCGAAGTCTGCGGGTTTAAAACCACCAGCAAACTGTCAATAACCAGCCACAGATATCGCCATAAAGGAAATGTCTTTTGGTGCGAGTTTTGCCCGTTTCAAACCAAGTACAACCACTACTTAAAAACCCACATGATGTACAAACACAGCGAAAATATTGAACGTCTCAAGTGTGACTATTGTCCATACGAAGCCAAAGTTTTCGGCGACTTGAAAATCCACATGTTGACCAGACACACGCCCTTCGAAGAAATTAAATGGTTTGAGTGTGACAAGTGTCCCTACAAGACGAAACTAAAAGCCCAGTTGACAAGACACCAAAAGGTTCACATAACTGGCGACACTAAATGGTATCAGTGTGGAATTTGCCCATTTAAAGCTAAACACGAAGGTCCTTTAAAAGTACACATAACACGTAAACACGGAGAGGATCAGGACGTAGGAGGGTTTATTTGTGACTTATGTCCGCATAAAAGTAGATCTAAAAGTAATTTGAAGATCCATATTTTGAATAAACACACACCACCTGAGAATATTCAGTGGTTTTATTGTGAGAAGTGTCCATATAAGGCGAAACAACAGAGTCAAGTGCGGAAGCATAGTGTGGTTCATTTGGAAGAGGCGGAAAAAATTCGATGCGTAAAGTGTTCGTTTACGACGGCGCATTTAAATTCTTTAAGAAGGCATGAAATGCGGGTGCACCCTGAACATGTAGTCACTGATGTACAGATGTAATATAGATATGTAATGTATATTAAATGTAAATTATATTCAAAGATGTTTTTTTCGTGATTTTCGGAACAGCGGCGAGAGGTATTAGGCCTCTCCGCCTCTTCTTTACAGGTTTCCATAATTCCATAAACAGTTAGATATAACATAGAATAAAGTATATTCATTACATATAAAAAATAAAACACTCAATTTGTTCTTCTTGATTTTAATGAACACAACATATTAAACATGTTACACAAGATACTGAAACAACTTAAATGGAATTAAATCCTACACATGTATTTTTTTGTGCTTATACAGAATTGAAATATCTTTCACTTTGTAAGGACAGTGTTCGCATTTGTACCACTTAACATCCGTTCCATTCAAATGAAGGCTATTTATATGACGCTTTAAACTGCAACTGCGTTTCGCCTTAAACGGGCAATATTCGCACTGATGCGATTTGATCTCCGAATGGACCTTTACATGATGTTTCAAATTATTTTTCGTTTTATTTTTATATGAACAGTTCGCACATTCGTACCATTCCGATTTTCTTGAAAGATCAGCACGTCTGTGTATGTTTCCATCCGAATGACAGTTTCTCCAATGATATTTTAAATAACTTTTCCTTTTACTTTTATACGAACAATCTTCACATTCATACCACTTAATTTCTTCATCATCTAAATGTCGAAAAATCACATGACTTTTTAAATTAGGCATCCGTTTGGTTTTGTATGGACAAAATTCACATTCATACCACTTACTTTTGTCTTTGCCTGGATGTTGTCCAGTCACGTGCGTGTTTAAATTTCTTTTATATCTGGTTTTAAAAGGACACTCTTTGCATTGGTGCCATTTAATGTCTTCTTCGTTCAAGTGGGAGCCTGCGTGGCTTCTTAGACTATTTTTGAATTTGGTTTTAAAAGGACATTTCTCGCACTTGTACCATTCCGAATCTTTGTCATCTAAATGGGCGCAGTTTATGTGGATTTTTAAACCTACTTTACGTGCACTCGTAAATGGACACTTGTCGCACGAATACCGCTTGTTCAAATGGCGCTCGTCAATGTGACGTCTTAAATTATTTTTGAATTTGGTTTTGTAAAAACACTCCGCACAGTAATACCAACATATTTCGTCGGTTTGCTTGAAATAGGAATTCGCTCTTTTTCTTTTTTTCGTGCATGTTGAAAGATGTTGAAGCCACTTTAACAAGAAATTCGTTTCAAAGTCGCATTTTTCGCAAACGTAGTTGTTTATTTGGAAATCCTGACTTGATAAATCTTCTCTGAATTCTGTTTTAAGGCCGTGACGTTCATTAATGTGTCGTTTGAACAGAGTCGTTAGTTCAGTTTTAAAATCACAGTCTTTACAATAATACGCTTCTATACTGGCATGTTCACAGTTCAATTTTTCTAGGGGTGAACTGTGTCTTCTCACGTGGTTCACCATAAGAAAAAGTGAGGTTGTAAAATATGGACATTGTTTACAGTTGTGAACATTTTTCCATGAAGATCTTCCCCATCTTGTAGGTATTTCGGAATACTCCAGAGTTGACATTTTGGTTAGCTAAGTGTCCACGGAGCACCAAAGCACTGACCCTTGCAACGTTGAAGAAACGTCAGATCACTAACCTAACATTTTGTCGTCGAAAATGATCTTTCGAATTAACGCAGTTTAGGCGCTGATCAGTGTTTGAATCATTTGAATATTGTCGTCCCAGCTAAAACAAAGCAAAATTATAATAGATTACGATACAATCAACAATAATAATTGTGGGACTGCTTGTGCTCCCGCTCAAAACTAATGTAGAAAGCGGAAAATAAGCAGCAAAATTTTAAATAAATACATAAATAATAAATAAATATTTATTGCCCTACAATCCAATTGGACAGGATAATTTATAATTAAATAAATAAACAGAATATAATAATCGAGGGGTAAACCGCAGAGAAAATCAATTGTACACGCTAGAGGAAATCAAAGGAAATCACAGGAAATCAGAGGAAATCACAGGAAATCAAAGGAAATCAAGAGGAAATCAACGAGAAATCAAGGGGAAATCAATGAGAAATTAACAAGAAATCAACAAGAAAACAAAGGAAATCCAAAATCATCATAGCAAAACCAGTTAAACTAGATATTTTCTAGAACTAATAAACGTAACATGTACGACATAAGTCATAGTATTCCTCATAAGAAAGAAAATATCAATTTAATCTTAAAAGTGGAGATTAAATAACCTTTTAAGGGCATAATGATAGAAAATTCCAGTATAATATCATTAACTGACAGCATGATATTTCAGCTTGACAAATATTAAAGTTGTAGTTAATGAAGTGCAGTTCCGACGAGAAATGATACATTATATTGCTTTATACCTACAAACCAAATTTATAATTTCGCCCCAAATTAGTTTTTCAAAATTGAGTTTGTGATATGAGGTACCAAATTCATTAAGTTCAGGTCGTGCAAAAATCTTACTGATGATATGTTCTTGCCTTGGAAGTTTAGCTCTCAAACTTGTGAGAGTATGTTTAGAAGCCTTAGATCAATGACCTCAACTTTTAGCACGATTGTTAATTTTAGTTTAAGAGATATGTTGCATCGAAGTGACAGTCTGCAAACTATAAACAACATTAAAAACGATTTGGATACAAAATTCGTTTTTCCTAGAGAAATCAGGAAAAAAAGTTCAATCATGGAGAGAGATTTTGTGAAAAATGATGACTTAGGAAACATTTCAGATAAAGATATACAAAGCACCGTAGAATCAGCTTTACGGGATTGTCTGCGTGACACTGAAGATTTAGGAATGAAAGTGATAGATTTCAACTATGTATTTTTGCCTCTGTGTAAAGACAATGAATGCAATGACGAAGTTGAAGATGAAATGTTTAGTGAAGGACAGTGCGATCACATTGAAAATTACAACAATTCTCAAATAGCCATGAAACGTAACTGTTTTCAAAGTTTGGAAAACGATCCAGTTGACCAAGATGAAGATTTACTGAATGATCTTTGCACAATTTCGTACGAATCTAAGAAATTTGACAGACATACACCTTAGAAGTTTTGATAGTGACGATATTTTTGTTGAGAAAGGTGATCTAGTCAGAATACGCTTAGATAATACAACAAAAGTTATAAAGAAGTCTTCACTTTGCTGGCTGTTAGACAATGAAAAGGATCGCGTCAGTGTGGATCGTCTCAAAAGATTTATTCAAAATAAGAAATGTAATAGTAGTAGAGTTAAGTCAGAAACAGATACCTGCCTTCAACATAAAGATGCATCTCAAATTCAAAAACCAGTCCAAATTGGAAAACAAAAAAGTGACTCATCTGATTTAGACAACCCAAGTAGTATGGAATATGATGACAGCACGGACACCGAAAGTTTGAATTCTTCCAATTATTCTGATGATTTGAATCCTCGTTTGAATCTCAAGGCTGAAAATAGTAAGACTGATCGTTCTAAACCAGACTTAAATATAGACGATTATATTATAGTAGAATTACGAGGGTGGGGTGATTAATGCCGGGCCTCAACAGGAATGCATTGTTTTTTTCGGTTGATTTTTATTTATTTCTCAACATAATCTCCATTTAGCTCGATACACTTAACCCAGCGATTTTCTAGAGCGGTTACACCGGAGTAATACAACGATTTGTAGAAATCTTCAAAATAACTATTTGCTGCTTTGATGTTGTCATAAACCTCTTACTACACAACCACTTTTTGAGGTTTGGGAAAAGGTGGAAGTGAGATGGGGCTAAATGGGGTCTGTAGGGAGGGTGGGGAACCAATTCAAATTTTAATTCATGAATTGTAGCCATCGCAATGACTGAAGTATGGACTGGTGCATTGTCCTGATGAAACTGCACCTTTTTTTTCGGCAAATCTGGCCGTTTTACTTTAATTTCCTGTTGTAAACGTTGTACTAGAGTGGCATAATATTCCCCACTAACTGTTTTTCCCTTTTGGAGGTAGTCAATAAAAATTATTCCCCTCGCATCCCAAAAGATGGTGGCCATAACCTTACTGGCCGATGCAACTGTCTTCGCTTTCTTCGGAGGTTCTCTTTTTTTGGTCCACTGTCTCGACTGCTGTTTTGTCTCGGGGGTGTAAAGATGGAACCATGTTTCATCGACAGTAATGAATGGACGCAAAAACTCAGTTGGGTTACGCCTGTAGTGTGCCAAGCAATCAGCCGAAACATCCTTACGACGCTGTTTTTGGTTTGGAGCGAGCAAACGCGGCACCCACCTGGCGCAAAGCTTTTTCATTGTTAAGTGTTCATTTAAAATATTTCGAATACGTTCTGTTGTGATCCTTATTGATTCTGCTACCTCCCTCACTTTCACTCTCCGGTCAGCCAAGATGATTTTATGATTTTTTTCTGTAATTTCTGGAGGGGTCACCTCAACAGGGTGCCCACTGCATGGTTCATTATTTGTGCTGATTCGGCCCATTTTAAATTTAGCAACCCATCACTTAATTGTTGTATACGATGGAGAGGAGTCTCCCAATGTTGTATCCAACTCTTTGTTGATCTCACTTGCTTTTAGGCGTTTCAAAAAAAAAATTTAATCATTGGCCGAATTTCCACTTTTTCCATTTTGTGAGAATTGTTTGATGCATCTAATCTGAAGGACTGCCATCCAACTACTAAATGACATATTGACATGAAATTTTTAAGGGAAGCTGATGGAAGATGAAATTATTGAATGCCATCATTATACTGATCTTATTACTCCCACATCTATGTGAGGCCCGGTACTTGTCACCCCACCCTCGTAACAACTCAAAAACAAAACAAAAAATGTTACATTGGTAACGTGTTATCACTTAACCCTATTTTTTGTGATTTTTTGAAAAGGAATCCAAAAATTCCGGATGCTTTTATGTTTCCGGTCATTAAAGATCAGGGGGAGATCCAAGAAAATGAATATATAATGAAACTACCTCCACCTCAGGTACTCAGAAGAGGCAGTTTAGTTTTTGAAAAAAAAATATTGAAAAAATATTTGATTTAATTCTAGTTTTTTTTTAAGTGATGTGATTAAAATTTGTGATAATGTAACCTCAACCTGGGTCAAGATTTGTACAAGTATACATCATAGAGAATACTAAAGTAAGAAACTGTACAAAGTCTAGGTGCCCATGAACACTTTTAAAGGGGAAAATTACCTCTGAAAATTTATCAAGTGGGGTTATCCACTACTTTATTGTGCAAAAAAAATTCTTACGTGTTAAATTTTGCATTTAAAAGTGTTTTTCTAATATGCTTCATTTGAAAGTTGGGAACAAAAAATTAAAAGTGCTATCATCTGTATTTATGGGTAGCTAGAATTTAGCACAGTTTTTTACTTCAACATCACCTACAATATATACACAAATCTCGACCCAGGTTATGGGGTAAGTATTTTTTAAGAAGTTGTTTTATTTTGTGATATTTTGTTATGATCCAACAGAAATGCTTTACTTTTATTTTTAGAGTTACCGTTTTTTTAACATTTAATAAAATAAATGAAACTACTTGTTTTTTCTGTTTATGCTACCATAATAAATGAATAAACCCAATTTTTAAAAAGTAATGACTTAAGTTATTATTATAAGTTTGATTTAGTAGGTCAAACTTTAACATGATACACAGAGATCAACCTAATAGAATGATTTTGGACTATTTGATATTCATTAATTACCTCTGTGAACGTATGAGCCAGTCGTTGTTGCCTTATGAATCACTGATAAGTAAAAACTGCTGACGTAACTAAAAATATCCTTCGCCTTATGTACTTTTAATTTCGTAAAGTCAAAAGCAAAATTTCATAGTATAATTTATTAAAAAATTAATAATAATTAATCTATATTAATAAAAATGAATCGCCGAAATGTATGTACGCCCATAACTTGAGAACGGCCGCACCGAATCGGACGATTCTTTTTTTTACGTGTTCCTTATCGTCAGGAGAAGGTTTATATGTAAGAATATTCATGAAAAATGAGACCGGTTAAAGATAAAAAAATTTTAAAAATTTTGCACGGGAATCGCCATTTCGAATCAATTTAAATAGTTGGCCATTCCTGACGGATCTGTCGCCTGACTGACGTGTCACACAAAACTATTTCTTCCGTGCGATTGTGAAAAGTATTATTGCATTTCAAGTCGTTGTTTGTTTTTTCGTAACAAAAAACGTCGTTTATTTCAAGAAAAGTGTTCGTTAAAGTGAATTCAGTTACGCATTGCGAAAGTTTCTTATTAATTTTGATCTGCCATTCTATTTACCTATGTTCACTTTGTTGGTTTCGACAAAACCTCAAACTTTACCGTTATTCGAGGATTTGATTTGAAGTTTTCAGTATTTTAAAATTCTTAAGACAAAATTTACAGATTTGATTGAAAATGTGAAAATAATTCTGTGTCGTTTATTGAAGTTCATTACAATGCCGAGAAGACGACAAGCTGACATAGGTCCACGAAGTCAATCAAATGTGCGACGAACTACCTCAGGTGCAAATCGCAATGATTTATTTCATGGGTAATTCGGATACGGAAGTTGATCAGCGTTGCGCTCATAATCAACATAATCAAACATTGAAGCGAGACATTGGGTGGTATGAATAAAAGTGAGTAGATACTCATATTCGAAGTACAAAGTACCTACTTCATTATTACTCCTATATACCTGAGCATCTACTCTATGTACTGAGTACCTACTTGGAAACATTGTATCTCCCCGGACATTGAACATCTACGCGTTTTGTGAGCATTTAATCTTAAAATGAGCATCGCCGTGGCAAATAACTGAGCTGTCTGTAAAGCAGCTTAGAAAATGAGTAAGATCGTTGTAAGAGTGAATTTTGACTAAACATGGCAACTTTCATGAACGTGGAGCGTCGTCAAAAGGTGCATTCAGTTTGAAAAACACATTAGGAGCGGGAATATCGAAAACTTTTCAGGTAATTAACTTTTATTTATTGTGCAGTGCGTTCTTTCTACAACTGGCCATAGAGATTCACATCTCAAGGTGTCTACCCCATCCTAACTTATATTTTGGTGACTCGATTTTTGTTTTAATGGTTGAAGACTGGCACTGTTTTCCGTTTTTGTTGTATCGAGATGCTACTTGAGCATCAACTGTTACCTACTGAAGTATTAGCATCATCTAGAAAAACTAGAAATATTTTGATTGGATATTCGAGTAGATACTTCGTATTTCGAGTATGAGCATCCACTGAGTTTTATTTATATCAACCATTGTCAAAAAATTGATCGAACGTTGTTTCGACAGAACTTCCTTCCCACCAAAAGTATAATGAAACATATTCAGCATTTTCGAGTTGAGTCTTTTCTTCACACAATTTTGTGATGACCTAATCAACATTTACGATCAACACGTATACCATCTTGGATTGGTGCAGTGTAATACTAAAAATAACTGTACTGTATTCCCAAAATTATCTGCGAAAATCGAGTGAGCCATTCGATCAAGTTTTTGGGGGGAATAAATAAATATTCTTTACAATTTACCATGCTTACAATAACTTTAAAACGTCTGCAAGATCTCAAAGTATTCATTTCTGCAACTCTTGAGTTATTCTCTAAAATAAATTGACTGATCCATACATTTTTTTGAGTCACTGTAAAAGCAAATCTAAAAAATATTAATGCAATGATAAATTACGAAAATATACTGATGATATTTTGCACATTTTGGATAGGATTTATTCGGCAAAATCTTGGGATGACGTCATCCGATTTTTGGGCTTGATAAACAGATACATTTTGATTAAAAATCTATCATGTCAAACAGTAACTTCCAAACGTCTGCAATATTTCAAAATTCAGTTTTGCAATTCTTGATTCAATCAATAAAATAAATTGACTCAATGATTAATTTTTTTGAGACACTCCCTATAAGCAAAACTAAAAAATTGGTCTAAAGAGTTTAGACAGTACTTCCCACGCTGTCGGAAACGTGACGACTGCATGTCTATTGTTTCTTTTCGCAGTAGATTTCATTTTTTTTTTGAGTCACCCGGTATATGCAAATTCTAAAAATATGAATGGAATGATAAATTACAAGCACAGACTCATCATATTTTGTATATCCTAGATAGGATTTATTCGGCAAACTTTTGAGCTGACGTCATCAGTTTTTTGTAGAAGATAACCAAATATATTTTGACTAAAAATAGTAATAAACCCATTCATTAATTTTTTTGGGTCACCCTGTATATGCAAATCCAAAAACTATGAATGGAATGATAAATCACAAGAAAAGACTCATCATATTTTGTACATTTTAGATATGATTTATTTAGCAAAATTTTGTGGTGACGTCATAAATTTTTTAGGGGGGGATGAGCAAATACATTTTGATCAAAAACTTACCATGCTTATGATAACTTTAAAACACCTTCAAGATTTCAAAGCATTCGGTTTTGTAGTTCCTGAGTAAATCAATAAAATAAATTTACGCATTCATTAATTTTTTTGAGACACCCTGTATATGCAAATCCAAAAAATATGAATGGAGTGATAAATTACAAGTACAGACTCATCATATTTTGTACAGTTTAGATAGTATTTATTCGGCAAACTTTCGAGCTGACGTCATCAATTTTTTGGAGGGGATAAGCAAAAATATTTTGACTAAACATTTATTACGCTCTTTATAACCTTAAAACATCTGCAAGATTTCAAAGCATTCGGTTTTGTAGTTCCTGATTAACTCGATAAAATAAATTCACGCATTTATTAATTTTTTTGAGTCACCCTGTATATGGAAATCGAAAAAAATTGATTGGAATGATAAATGACAAGAAAAGACTCACCATATTTTGTACATTTTAGATAGGATTTATTCGGCAAAATTTTGTGGTGACGTCATAAATTTTTTAGGGGGGATGAGCAAATACATTTTGATCAAAAACTTACCATGCTTATGATAACTTTAAAACACCTTCAAGATTTCAAAGCATTCGGTTTTGTAGTTCCTGAGTAAATCAGTAAAATAAATTTACGCATTCATTAATTTTTTTGAGTCACCCTGTATACGCAAATCCAAAAAATATGAATGGAGTGATATAGCACAAGCACACTCATCATATTTTGTACATTTTACATAGGATTTATTTGGCAAACTTTTGAGCTGACGTCATCAAGTTTTTGGAGGAGATATCCAAATATATTTTGAGTAAAGATTTATGATGCTCTTTAGCCTTAAAACATCTGCAACATTTCAAAACATTGGGATTAACAGATTCAAAATTAAATTGCAAAATGTTGTTTTATAATTTTGATTTTTTTTTCCAAAAATCTGGACGTTTCGGGTAAAAACTCAATTCGGAGTCGTAAAATACATGTTTAGGACTATATTATTTTATACAATTTAAAACCCATTTACTATGTACAATTTTGAAGTGACGTCATCACATTAGTGGTGGGGATGATTAGACAAATTTT